ATAAATTGGGGAGAGAAACTTGGAGACTTTGTAAAATCCCTTTACTTATATCACTTTCATCCACTAGTTTTAGCATCCGTGAATGTTTCTTCCCTGAATTAATTATTTCTGTGATGGTTGCCAAATTGTAATTTTTCAAATTCTATCATTCCTTCTGTTTATTAGTTTGCATTCTACTCTAAGGAAGAGCTTACACAGAGTGTATTATCAACATTTTATCTTGCAAACATGGTGGGAGATAACAGCCATCTCTTGAAAATAAAAATTGGAGAAATAGTGCATCTCAAAATCTTATGACTGTTCTAAAGCTTGATTATCTGCATTTATTCATTTATATTAGTGTGGACTCCTGGATTCCTATTTTATTCAGTGGATTATAATTTGTTGCTGTTGTTATTTTGATGCTGAAATTGTCCCAAACTTGGCTAGTGGGAAGCCTTTCAAGCTGGCTTCTATATTCTTTTATATGTATGTCTCCATCATTTTTTGAGCTGTTCCTTACTTTCTGGGATAAAAAGATGTTCCAGGGTCTTTTTGTTATTTCTCAGCCCTAGCCTTGGAAACAACCATTTCTCCAAGGAGTCCTGGTTACATTTAATTGAGATGGTATTTAGCAACCAAGATTTGTGCGCTAGGTATGCTCATTGCTACTGAGGCGTTGTTGTACCCAGGCCCTTTCAGTGGACAGAGTTAAGAACCACACACCCCTTTATTTTTTTCTCTCTCTATATTAAAAGTCATGAGTTCACACTGATAACCTGATACCAGTTCACACTAATACCAGTCCAACGCTACTGGGTTAATTCTAGCTTAACCTCCTTCCTTATTTGTATCTCCTTTCACTGACTGTGGAAAACCTCGCTCTTTTATCTTAAATATATTTTCTTATTTGCTCAGTCCCCCTGTATGTGGCCAGTCTCTTGACCCCATTGGGGTGTTACCTCATTCAGGAGCCTGCCTTATATGGACCTCTGCCTTTGCAGAGCTGCCACCTCAGTGTGTCCATTATGCAGACTCTGGCCACTGCTAGCCTACCTTCGCATCCTCATATGGAACCTGGCTGCTGCTGGGCAATTGAAAGGTTTGAAATAAATTTGAGAATTGGAAAAAACTTTGGAGTGAAGTCTGAGTGAGCACTATCCAGTGACGATGTGTTGATGAGTCTGTCTTTATGAATTTATTTTTATTATTGAAGCATATTATTCACATTTTTCCTGCTTCATATAACTCTTAACTATTGACAAGAGTCTCCGGTGAATGGGGAAGCTATTTAGTATTTTAATGTTTTAACCATTGTGTCAGTACTCACAAAACAAGTGAACTTTTCCTAAAAGTTGTTTTGACATTAATGATAATTAGGTTTTTTTTTTTTTTAAAACATTGTTGGTTTTTTTTTTATTCATTTATTTTATTTATTTTTTCCCCCAAAGCCCCAGTAGATAGTTGTATGTCATAGTTGCACATCCTTCTAGTTGCTGTACATGGGACGCGGCCTCAGCATGGCGGGAGAAGCGGTGCGTTGGTGTGCGCCCGGGATCCGAACCCGGGCCGCCAGTAGCAGAGCGCGCACACCCAACCACTAAGCCACGGGGCCGGGCCCAATGATAATTAGTTAAACCACTCTTGTGTAAAGTAAGTGAAGTCTAAGTTGGAAAATGCTGTATACCAAGTAAATTCAGCTAATAGTATTTGTGAACTGTTAGGTTTTTAAATGCTAAATGTACTAGAAAAAGTCATGTGTAATTGCAGATCGAACTAATTTCCTGAGTAAGATTATCTTGAAAATGCTTCTACCATTGGAATTCGTAAATTTTTCAATTCTAGAAGAAACTAAGATTGACAAGTTTTGAATGTAATGCCTCTTCTTACCCGGAGATTGTGTGATAACAAGTTGTAAAAGCTCAATTTTTAGCTGTCCTTTCATTTAATACCCTTTAGAAAGAAGGTGTTTATTAACTGGGCTTTTGTGTTCATTTTTTGTTGAACTCCCTCTTAAAGTCAATACATTTTCTTACACTGAGCTTTCTACTAGCCTTCGTAATAATTTCTTGACTCTGATGTTTTATATTTATTTTATCCAGTGCCCAGTAGTAATTACTGTGCATTCAGTAAATATTTATTGAATAGAAGAGTTCCAAGGCACCTGTACAGAAAATCTTTTGAAGAAGCTTTCAAATTCCAAGAGAAAAAAAAAATTTAACATTTTTGATAATTTTAATAGCAGAAAATTAAACATTTGCAAAACTATAATTGAGAAGTAGAATTTTTGTTGTTAAACATATTCTTTGAAAGACAGCATCATCTCTAGTTTATGAAACTTAGTCATAATTTTGAGAGATTTTGTTGTTTTATCTAGAAATGCCACTAAAAGGAGTGAATTAAGGTGACATTCGCCTGGCAACCTTGTTTAATAGAATCATTTTGTCATCCATTCACTCATCCAACAAGTATTAATTGAGTTTCTAAGATGTATGTGTCATTCCGCATTTGTTTAGTGCCTGCTGTATTTTTGGCATTGTATAACATCTTGGGAATATAGAAATGAATAAGAAATATTGTCTGCCCTTTAAAGAACTTAGGTTCATTTGATATGAAGTGCTCTTTTTATTATCAGTTCAGTGTTTTTTTAAAAAAAGACTGAAGACTGAGTTTGAAATGGAAGAACGAATAACCAGAGATTCAGCTACTCTGTCCCTAACGTAATATCTTCAATGACACCATAATGAGATATTTAGGAAAACTTGATTAAACATTTAGTTCCCTTATGGCTATTGAGTCCACTTATTTTGTTGAATCATTTGTAAAGAAAGTGCATTCCTTGAATTTCCTTAATTACAAAAAATTTCTGACCCTATACTTATTTTATTATGAAAATAATTTACATTTGCAGAGCACTTCTGCTGCTCATAAGAGTCATTTCCACATACATTTTATTAATCTTCAGAACAGTCATACAATTTTGAGACTCAGTGTTTCTCCATTTTCTGTTTTTAAGATATGTCTTTATCTCTCACCATCTTCATGAACTAGATATTGATAGTGTACTCTGTTTAAGTGATAATAAGATTGCAGTTTACAGTAGAAAAAGTAATAAAGCTTTCCCTTAGTGTCCATTGTACCACTGTTGGGAAGAGAACACCCTGGTAATTTTTAAGTTCTGAATGTTCAGACACTTACTAACATTTACCCAGTGTGCCTAAAAATTACATGTAATTCTTGCATGGTAAAAGGGAAGGAGCTCATGAGAGGAAGTGTGTATTTATTTCTCTTTGGTATAACTACTAATATCTGGACTTCCCAAGTTCAGGGTGTGGCTTTTAGGTGTCCAAATATAGCATGTTGCAGGAATTTAGTCCATGTTTCAAAGACCTGCCCCACTGACTAACGTGCAAACGAGGAGCTCACATTCTGCACTGTTCTAAAGATAAGCCTGTCTTGACTGTGCTGAGCAGCTGATCATCTAAAGTCTCACTCAGAAGCGACACCACCAAGTCTCTACACCGAGTGAATTAAGATAAAATGTGGAAGGCTTTAAGCTTTTTCATTTTTTAGATTTGAAAAAGGTTTTTTTTATGTTTATATTATATTTAGTTAAAGTTGCTTTTATCAAAGTCCTGCTGTATTAAACCTTAGGTTAATTGCATTTTCCCTTCTGAGGCTTTTGTAACTTGAAATTCTCAGTTGAAATTGAATTTAGAAAAGTGGTAAATACTGGTGTTCACCGATATTTTAGAATATAGTACTTCATATAAACATGACAATAATTCAAATGTTTTTCAAACTGTGAATAGTTTTTAGCTTGTATATCAGAGAAGTTTCAAAATATAGAACTTCTTTCAATATACATTTCATATGGCCAACTTTAAATATAGTTGCTGTTGTTAACAGTGTTCATTCGTTTTCCTGCCTAACCCTCTTACCAAACCTTTTGGTACTTGTCAAGATGTTTTCATGCTTTAATAGAAAGTAGTGAGTGTGTATTTAACTGTACAGTACTGTGTAATGATATCAGAAGTTGATTTCTCTAAAATACATTAGTTTGCCAAAAGAAAGTATTATGCCAGTTGCTTTCTTAACGTTAAGAACAACATTACAAATGTTTTTTATCATAAATTTAGGATATAGCCGTTTTTAAAAAGTAGTAGGAGAGCTATTAAGAAATGAAATGCAGAATAAATGTAGTGGTGTGTTTATTATATCCAAGGTCTGACACGGCTGATGTGTCAGAATTTCAAAATTTTGAAATTTTCTCAGTTTGCGGAGGAGGGAGAGGAGGAGGAGCATGATGGTTAAGAGTTGGGGCTTTGAAGTGAACAGATATAGTTTTGAATCCCATCTCCACTACTTACTTGGTGTGTCCAATTTAGACAAGTTACTCATACTCTCTGAGCCTCAGCTTCCTGATCTGTAAACCAAGATGATATTATCACTTCTAAAACCTACTTTGTAGGGTTGTTGAAAGAATTTCATGAGATAATTTATGATAGCATATTTAGCATCTTTAGCACAGTTACTGGAAATTGCCAAGTGCTCACAAAAATGTTAGCTATTGCTATTATTAACATGTCTCTACATGCACACTAATGCTTTATAATTAGAAATTATTTTTTCTTCCACATTTAGGTGATTTCACAAATCATCTTTGAAGGTTTTTAGGACAGCATGTCCTTACATTAAATATAACTTATATTAAATATAACAGATGAAAACCTACATGGTGGTACTTCACTAAGCTGTTTTGTATTTTTAGGCCTGTAACTTAATACAAGTATATGGCTAACTGCACTGGGTGCATTGGTTTTATAAGATTGCCTTTTGTAGGTGAAAGGAGCAAGTAAATACGTATACTTGAATCTTTTGAAGTTTATCCTTTACACTTATTTGTGTATATCACATTTGCTTAAGGCAGGGATGGACTGGAAGCATGCAAATTCTCATCTCATCCTGCTGTCAAACACACAGCTATAAATTGGCACCTTCTAACCTCCGTTATGTTATAGGTCTCTGTGATCCTGTTTTGGAGTCAAGGATTCTCCAGTGCTGCTTTCAAATGAGATATCATGAAAACAGTATGTTTGTCTTTCGCACAACTATGGGATAGCAAATAGACATAATTAAAAAGAAAACAAAACAGGTTCTTTAAGGAAGAAAAAAGTCAGTTATAATTCAGCTAATACTTGAACGACAACTTTCTGCTGGGCTACGTAATCCCTGTCTTATGGAAGCTTGCAATATAGTAGGAACATAAGATGTAATTAAGCAAATAGTTACAAAATAAGAGCACATATGATATGCCATTTGGTAGAGATAGTAAGTACTATGGAAATTTGGGGGAGGGAGAGATCACTTTCAGTTGGAGTCTTTTTTCTACTTATAACCTAGTTCGTATAACTGAGGAGGTGCCTATGCATGACTTGTGTCTCTTTTAGAAGGCTGCTTCAGCTGGGTGGCCACAGGAATGCTAGTTTCCTTACCTCTCTGTTGCTGGCTATTTCTAGCCCTTGCTCTCTCCTCATTCTCCCCATGACTACAGATCCTACTGCTGTCTAAAAGCTTTCTCCCCTAGGCCCAGTATCATTTTTTTATCTTTTTCAAGTGCTTGTCCAAAATAATGATACAATAGTGGGACTGACAGTAGCAAGTGGGAAGGGGAAGAAAGAGAAACTGTTTTATTGCAGAATCAGTAACCTTGTTCCCTATTACAGAAATAGCCCTGTTGATAGCAGCAAGGGAGAGGGATAATGAAAAAGAGAATCCTCATCTTGCCTCTGTTCCTGTGAAAATCCATAAATATGTGCCCCTACACATCCTATATCCCCACACTCTCCCATCTCCTGGAGATTTGGTTCTACTCACCATCCTGTCCCCACTCTCTCCCTGTCCCCCACCTATGTACTTTGCTCCAGAATCCTGCTGCAGCTCTGAATCTCCTGCCTCTTTGACATCTTGCCCTTCAGGCTGTTAGAGCACCTTTTTCAAGTCATGGGATTCACCCCCAGGATGAAGAACTGGCGTAGCTCCATTGAGCTATTGTGTTACTACCTCCAGCCCTTCAGTAGGCCACAATGTGTACTTGATGTCTCCAGTGGGGAATCCTGAATCCATTAATGCAATTACCTATGACAGATTGTTCATATATAATGTTTAAGTCTTGCATTACGTTAGTACTATATGTCTAGAAGGTTTGATTCTAAGAGAAAATGTGTTTCAAGTATTAGAGTTAAACGGTGAGCTCTTGTTTTACATCAGGAGCCACCTCTATTGACAGTGAACTTGGGGTCAGACTAGAGTTCAAATTCTAGCTCTCCCTGTTACTATACCTGTATGACCAAGTATGTGATTACTTGGCCTTTCTTGGGCAAGGTTCTCTATATAGACTGTAGAGAGAACAGTTGTCTCTCAAATGTGGTTATTGGGGGGTGTTAAATGAGAATGCATGTGAAAGTGTGTAATAAAATGTAAAATCCTATATTGAAGGAATGTGGCATTATGGTGTTAATATTCACTGTGTTAGGTAAAAGAACAAATTCCTGCCCTCTAGGAACTCATCATCCAGGGGTTAAGACCTGGACAATTACATTAGAGTATGTCATAAATCTTATGGCAGATGTGTGTGCAGGTGATCAGGGGCCACAAAGAAGAGCAACTATAATCTGGAAATGGATGGAGAGGGAAAACTTCGTGGAGCAGGGAGTTCTGATCTGAGTCTTAAAGGCTAAGGAAGAGCAATCTTGGCAAAGAAGGAATAAGAAGGGAAAGCCATTCCAGGTTGACGGAGTGGCATGGGGGAATATGGTGCATTCAGAAAGCTGCAAGTTTGCTTGGAGCTTAAACTGTCTACTTGTGGTGCCTAATTTGATTATCAGGACTCCTTACCTAACTCTGAAGAGGCACTGTTATTGCACAGTGGTTAACAATGCTAGAAGCAGACTTGGTCTGAAACCTGGTTTGACCATTTACTTATCTGTTATACCTAATTAAGATCACCTTCATAAACTTTTAGGTTCAGTATGATGATAAAAGTACCTACTTCAAAGGATTGTTGCAATGATTATTTGAAATAACGTTTGCAAATCTGGTGTTTAATAAATATGTAATAAATGTTAGCAGCAGTTTTTGTTGCTGTTCCGAAAGTTCTTAGAGTTACTTTTCCCCTCAGTATTCTGTATTCTACTGTTCTAGGCTAACAGTTGAGCAGTATTTTAAATACCAACTCTTGTTTGTTATAATGGTATTACAGAAACAGAATTTGAGTGAATTTTAAAGATGGTCTAGCTTAGTTTCATTCTTTTGTGTGTTAAGAAACTAAGTCACAGTTAAATAACCTGGCTGTGATGTCACAGTGAATCAGTGGCACAGCTGGGACTAGAATCAGGTCTCTTTCATTTCCGAGTTCTTTTTATTGGTCTTGGAGTAAATTATCCAAAATCACTCAGAGACACTAACCTATACAACATTGGCCACAATTTCTAGCAGAAACAATATAAGTTGGCAATGTAGAAATTGGTATTTTAATAGCTTTGCAGGTAGGGAAATGTATTTTTTAAAGGAACACCATATCCTTCTCTGCCTGCCCCCTGGTCGAAGTGCTATTTAGCAACAGCACGTGTGAAAGAGCAAGGAGAGGCGGGTGATAAGGAACTGGATAATTCTTAAAGGAATAATTCCTTTGCCACCAAGAATTTCTTATACAGACAGATTCCTATTTCTGTTTATTTGGGTTTCCTCACTAAAATGTGAAAATAGATTTTCATAATACTCATCAATGAAACATGTTCTACTTCATTTATTCAAGAGGATCCAACAGATAATTTGTTGAGCACCTTTTGTGTATCAAGTGCTAGGGTACAATGGTGAGCAAGAAACTTATGCTTTAGTGGAATAAACAAATGTTGAAATAATAATCATACAGATAAATAATTATAATTAGTTAAGTGGTATGCATAGAAAGAACAGAGTGATTTAGGATTATATAGCAACCTTTGGGAAGGCCTACCCTGAGGAATTAAAGTTTTAACTGAGATATGAAGGCTTAATGAAGTAAATAGGTGAAGATGAGTCAGAGAAACAGAGAAGAGGGTCTCATAGTGAGGAAACAGTATGTGCAAATGCCCTGAGGAAGGACATAGTATGATCTGTCCTAAGAATTGAAGGACAACTAGTGTATTTGGAGCAGAGAAAGCTAATATAAAATGTAAGTCCCAGTCATGAGAAGAGAAGTGAAGGTCTGTACTAGGCATCACCAAAGAAACCAAATAGGTCAAGAAGAAGTGAACCTCCCCCCAAAGAAAACTGTGTGCCCTATGTTAAAATTTTGTTGCTTTAAAGATACACTGTAAAGAAATTTACTTTAGAACCACTATAATATTCTGCTTACTGGGTAGAGTAATACTAGGATTTGAGCACTTTAAATGTGTATCCTTTTTCATTTGATTTTTCTTCCTTTCTATCCTGGCTCATTGAGAATCGAGGGGATATTTTGATGTGCTGGAGTGGTTAGATCAGGGACTTTTGCTGTTGATCAGTTGAACAGCCGTAGAAATGACAGAGAGAATCTTATCCTGTTTTCTTGGCTGAGGGTTTCGTGTGGGTGTCTGAGGTGCAGCTGCACTGTCGGTTTCTTGGCAGTCAAGACAGGGCAATTCTCAGTGCGGTTCATCTTGAATAGGAAGAAACTTAAGAGTAAAAAAGCTACTTTGAACGTATTAAATTCAGTGGAAAGCACCCAGGGCCTGAATCTTTGGCTGATATTCTGTTATTTGGCTAAATGGATACAGCAGCTTCAGGCACATGTCCAAGCTTGTGGCAGGAACACATGAAGGAGAGAACATAAAAAAATAGTCAAGCTTTGTCTCAGTATAAAATTATCAATTACCATATGTAATTTTAAAAGGAATTTTTGTTAATTTTTTGTTTATGATTTATTTAAGCTTTTTCTCTCAAGAGCACTTAATGAAAAGGGCAGATAGTGAAAAATTAGCTTTGCTTGCAAAAGTGAATTCATAATTTTCTGTAGTTTATCAGAAAGATCTTTTCTCAGATCTATTTATACACAGATGGAGTCCTGGTTCTGCTTTTATTGCTCACTTGTTTTCTTCTCTCTCTTTTGACCTTTGCTGTGGTCTATAAGTACTTTGTTTTCCCAGACCCTCAAATGCAGACAATATGGAGCTCTTCATTTTCCAGGCACACTTGCATCCTTTCCTTTGGATAAACTCATCATTGTCCTTCATACTCTTCAAGTAAAAACATATGAGTTGCTTCCAGTGTTTAACTGCATGTTTATATCTCTACTGCTATATAATATTATTGATCTCAGAGTAGCGTAGAGTCAGGTCCTGAGGTCATTGAGTCTGGGTTCAAATCCAGTCCCACTACTGACTATCTTGGTCCTGTTAACTTCTTAGTTTCTCATCTCCAAAATGGAGATAGATAATCATGTTAGTGCCTCATAAGTTTTTTTTCTTAAAGGCTTAAAGGAAAACAAAATGCATATAAAGGGCTTAATTCAAAATAGGTGTCCAGGAGAAGAGATGTTAGCTATCATTTTCTTCATGATTTAGAGCCAGTCTCCTAGAGTCCATTAATAGCTGTCTTCACTCTTCTGGGGACGTCATTCAGTCTAAAGACCATCTGTATGCTGATGACTTCCAATTTACATCTCTTTTCCTTACCTCACTCTTCCCTAAGCTCCAGACTTGTTGATCTGACTGCTACTGTTTATCTACACTGAAGTATCTAATACATACGTCAAGCATCACATATCTAAAAACAGAACTTCTGATCTCTATCCACCTGCCCCTACTTGCCTCCCCTTCTTTCCTATCTCAGTTAATGGCACCACCCTCTGTACTTTTTTTGGCTTTCCTCTATCTACCAATCCCCATCCATTTCATCAGCACATCTAACAGCATTATCCCCAGAATATGTCCTAAATCTGACCATTGTCACCGTATCCTGTAGTAGCACCATAGTCCAAGGCAGTAACCTCTTTTGCTTGGACAGTTACATAAGGAATGGTCTCCTTATTTCTGTTTTCAGACTTGTTACCTGCAAACCATTATGTACATTGAAAAGTGATATTTTAAAATCATTGATTTTTACCCCCCTCTTCTTGAAATTAGAAAAATTTCCAGAATTTTTGAAATTCTTCTATGACCTGGCCCCTCTGATTGTTTTCTTCCTCTCTCTCAAACACAGCTAGTTCATTCCTATCTTAAGGCCTTTACATTAGTTTTTCCCTGTTTGGGATATTTTTCTCCCAGATCTTCACAATGTTGGCTCTTTGCAATTTTTAGGTCTCAGTTCAGATAACAGCTCCTCAGAGAGGCCGACCCTGACATCTTTTCTGTCTTGCTTACTAGTTGATCACTATCTGAAATCCGCACCGCCCCCCGCCCCCGCCATTTTCTTACTCCTTTCACAAATTGCCCCTTCCCACTCCCAAAAGAATTTAAGTTCTGTGAGGGCAAGAACTTTATCCGTCTTGTTGACTGCCATATTCTCAGTGCTTAGAATGAAACCTAATACTCACAAGGTTTACAGTATTATGTGGATGGAAGACTAAATGAAAGAAAAAATGAATAAATATGTATCTGGTAAGTTTTCTACAACCAGGGAAATAATGGATTATTTCATCCGTTACAAACTTTGCATGGTTGCTTATTTTATAATTAACCATGCTAATATTTTGTTCTGTTTTATATGTCTTCTCTGTTCTATATTATAAGCCCTTAAAGGTAGGAGGTATGTCTCTTTTGTTTTTAGCTTCTTACAGAGTGCCAAATACCATGTTAGTACTCACTGTTGATTGAATTGAATTGAAAATTCAATCTAACATTTTTATTTCCTCTAAAGTTAGAGTAATCATATATATATGTGTGTGTGTGTATAAATATATACATAATTTATATAAATTCTAAAAGCAATTGTGTTTAAAGTATGTCTTCCTCTTTTATAAACTCTTGCAGTTCATAATTGGACCCTTGAGGACACACTTCAGTGGTTGATAGAATTTGTTGAACTACCCCAATATGAGAAGAATTTTAGAGACAATAATGTCAAAGGAACAACGCTTCCTAGGTGAGTCTTTATTATCCAAATGTATTTTTCCATTCATGGAGAATTATATGCTAAATGTTACTTTTCAACGCTGAATCTTCAAGTTACTTCTGTGGCTAAGGACTCTTAAGGAAATAGTATAAATATATCCATTCTTTAATTTTTTTCAGATATGAATTTGTAAGTTTTAATCAATTTTTCTTGTCTAAATAATCAGGCCCTTTTAAAAATTTATTCCCAAGGAAAGTAATTTTGAGAATTAGAAGGTGGGCCAACTACATCTTTTTTAGATAACATCACAGGGCCAACCTCTGACCACCTGGTAAATAATAACAAAAACTTATTCATTTGATATGGATCCACTTTTATGAAAAGACCTATTTGAATGGATTAATGTATAGATCCTTCTTAATTGGTATTCTTTTAATAACAACAATAACCACTTAATATTAGTGCCCATAAGTTAATAAACAAAATATAAGTAATAGCAACCATTTTTAAATGTATATTACATGGAGATAACTCTGTATTATCTCATCTAAGCTACATGGTTAAAATGAAGTATGTATTATCATCCCCATTTTACAGATTAAAAAAACTAAGTCGGAGGGGCCGGCCCCGTGGTATAGCAGTTAGGTGGGCGCGCTCTGCTGCTGGTGTCCCAGGTTCGGATCCTGGGCACACACCGACGCACCGCTTGTCAGGCCATGCTGTGGCGGCGTCCCACATAAAGTGAAGGAAGATGGGCACGGATGTTAGCTCAGGGCCAGTCTTCCTCAGCAAAAAGAGGAGGATTGGCATACATGTTAGCTCAGGGCTGATCTTCATCACAAAAACAAAAAAACTAAGTCGGAGAGAAGTTAAATTTTTTGTCAAGACAGTGTTTGAACACAGATAGGTCTGGTACCAAAATCTAGGATGTCATTTATCCCTTAGATGCCTAGAATTAATTGTTATTAGTTTTCTAAATTATATTTTCTAAATCTCCATTAGTTAACTTAATAATCCTCAAAGATTTAAATGTTAAAATTGCAATGATTCTACCTGAACTTGACCCTTACAAGATTGCTTATGTCCCATTCCTCTCTAGATTGTTTCTTGTATCAAAAAAGACTCTAATCCCTTATTACTGTCTAATTATTATACATGATGAAATATGCACGTTGTATTTATAATCAATTTGCTACATACCCTATTTAAATAAGTGACTTTTGTTGCTTTGAAGTTTGTATTTTGGATCAAGTTGAAAGTTTTATATCTCCCTTAAATGTATTCTGAAGTCAACATCAGTATTTCTGACTTTACAGTGCACATGACTATAATGATGAAATTATGGGGATAGGAGTCAATTCGGCAAGTGTGTATTGAGTATCTTTTATGTTCATGGTGCAACTAGGTGCTGGAAAGAAGACAAAAATTAAATAAGATATAGTTCTTGCTTTTAAATAAGACAGGTTCCTAAGTTAAAACAGAACAGAATAGTAGAGCATTAAAATGAGATTAGGGTTTTTCAAGTTATATATGTTACCTCAAAACTAATATTTGTATTATGAGGAACTCATAGTATTTTTCTTATGTTGTCTTTTGGGAAGTTTCTTTATATAACAACAACATGAAATAAAATAGGCTGCTCTATGTTTTGGCAATAAATATTATAGCCACTTGTTTCTTTTGGTTAAGTAAAGGTTATCAAAGATACCTCAAATTCTGATAGAATTGTTGGAATAACATCACACCCTCAATCAAGATCAATTTTTTAAAATAGTGAACACGTTACTGCAGAAGAAAAAATAATAAATGTAGAAGTTCATTGGAGCCTTTTTGAGTAGTGGAGAAAGGAAAACTGGAATACCCTTCATCAAGCCCGTTTTGTATGGTAATGGCAATTAGATGAGTCAATTTAAAGGAGCAATAAAACAACTATGTAAGTTACAGGGCTTTTTGTAGGGTAACTGTAGATGTACACATGCCTACAATAATTCATTATTATGTTTCTTTTCTGTGACATTAAAATATTGTTATGTCTATAGTAGGTAGCCAAAATTATGTTAGTTTTATGTTAGCTATAATGATTATCTTAAGGCTTTTACTGTATTTTCTATACTCTGTAATTCTTATTACCAGAGCTTATCCTAAGGCTCTCTTCACCTGACACATGCCTCCTCATTCCTTTCAGACCTGTGTGAACTTCCCTGACATCCTCACCCACTCAGGTAGAATCACTTCCACCTCTGGGCTCATATTGAACTTTGCATAAAATTCTGTTATAATTTCCTTTTTATTACATCTCATTGTCTTTCTTAAATTTAGTCTATTGATAGTGTTGCTATTAATTCATTCATGCATCTGTCCATGCCGTCATTCATCTGTTATACAAACATTTATCAAACATCTACTTTTGCCAAGCATCATACTAGGTTTGGGAATACAGAGATAAGACATAATTTTTGCCTTCAAGCAGTTTGGTAAGTGTCATGTTAAAGGTGTAACAGGAGCATGAAAGGTACCTGTGGAGAAGATGAAGGAAGGCATTTTGTAAAGGCAAAGTTAGAGTTCTTTACTTTCTGAAGTTTTGTAGAAGCCTCGTAGGAGTTTCTGTAACTTCTCCATACTCAGAGGTTCTGATATCTTCCTAAATGTATTGGTTCAGAGTACAGTTGTTGGAATCATACATATTTGGGTTTGAATCCCTGCCTTAACCTTTTACTAATTATGTAACCTCGGGCAAGTTACTCATCCTCCCACTACCTTAGTTTCCTCATCTATAAAAAGGGAATTTTATATATATTATAGGCTTTTTTGAATTTTAATTAAGTCCTTGGCACAGGACCCAACACATAGTACATGCGTGTTTTATTGTCATTGTTATTAATAATTATATTATTATTAGACTTTATGTTAAAAAATCTTTGTTGGCATCGTACTTGGTTGTTAAGAAATCTTAGTTGGTTACTGGGCTACTTGGATTTGAAGTCCAAAATAAAGTGATTTTATTATTTCACCTGTGCATTTTTGGCCCCCTGCTTTCTTCATTGCTAATAAAATGGTTCAGTACTTCTGTACATAAATCTCTCAGTTTACTCTCCCAACCAGTGATGACTTCTTACTTCCCACTTATGACTTCAGTGGACTTTAATTTTTAAACAGTTTAGAAAGTAAAGGTATAAATTTTAAAGATACTTTTTAAAGAAAAGCAGGGCCGGCCCTGTGGCTTAGCGGTTAAGTGCGCGCGCTCTGCTACTGGCGGCCTGGGTTCGGATCCCAGGCGCGCACCGACGCACTGCTTCTCCAGCCATGCTGAGGCCGTGTCCCACATACTGCAACTAGAAGGATGTGCAACTATGACATACAACTATCTACTGGGGCTTTGGGGGGGGAGGGGGAAGGAAGAGGACTGGCAATAGATGTTAGCTCAGAGCCGGTCTTCCTCAGCAAAAAGAGGAGGATTGGCATGGATGTTAACTCAGGGCTGATCTTCCTTGAGGAGAAAAAAAAAAAAATAAAGAAAAGCAACATGATCTAAATTGAGAACTATTTTTTAAAGTCTGCTATTGATGTTAAATAAATTACTTATAATTTTCTTGTTCTTTGTGAAATGGTAGTAAAATGCCAGAGGTAATGATAAAATATTTTAAATTATATAAATTTCTAAATCACAGTAAGTTATAGCATAAAGTAACCTTAGAAAGCAAAAACATCAATATAGCAGCTAAATTATTAAACATACAGGAATGTTTTTTCAGCTAAGTTTGCAGTGAAAAGGTTTTTGATATATGTAATGAAGTATTAAATCACACATGGATGAGCCCTTACAATAATCATCACTAATATGTAAAGTATTAAATATGTTGCTCAAATATTTAAATTTACATACTAGAAGTACTTTTATTTAATATATACGTATTTTTTAAATGAACAGGATTGCGGTACATGAACCTTCGTTTATGATCTCTCAGTTGAGAATCAACGACCGGAGTCACAGACAAAAACTTCAGCTCAAGGCACTGGATGTGGTTTTGTTTGGACCTCTAACACGTTAGTATTCTCTCTCAAAGAGTGTGATACAAAAGAATAAGCAGATCATCTATTTGTTATTTAAAGAAGGAAAAAGTAAGGTAGTAGATCACGAAGAAGAATTCTCTTTTAGGTGTAAAAGACATGTAATACAGTCTTAAAACGAAAGATTTGTAGGGTGAGATTTTCTGTCATGGAAATATGGAGTGTGAAACTTTCAAAGCTGATTACTGATGTAAGAAGTTATAAAAACTGTGTTAGCTGATAATTTAGAATTAAATTTCTAGATTTAAAACTTTGGATCTTTATAGCAGTTTTAATGTTGTTTTTATAGCTGAATATTCACTGAAGAATCCCTTTAAAAAATGGTGCAATCTAACCATCCTGATGGTATGAAGTAATAGATCCTGACTTGATTTCTTTAATCACCAAGAAAAGGATATTTTTAGATGTAGATTAAAAGCAAAGACCCAATTGAAACTTTACGAAGTACCAGACTATCCTGGCAGAAGTGCCAGATGGAGAATGTTATTTGATTGTTCTTTAGATTGTTTTGAAGAGGAACATTTAAGAAGTTGCAATGTCATATTTGTAAAGAAAATAAACTTTGTATTTCTTTACTTTGACAGGAATATTTTTTTCCCTGAAGGGAAGTTGAGTATGTTCATTTTATTTAATTTCATATTTCAGAAAGCTTTGTGGGAAAGTGTTTGAAGAGTACACATTTTAGAGGAATTATGTTTTATTTTTCAGAAGCCAAAAAAGAATAAAATTAATACAAGAAAAATGGCTTCCACAAATTATAAATTAGCAAACTAATGTTTATTTTACCTCAATTCTTGGAGTTAGGAGACTCACAGGTTTCTATGATAGTGTCGTGGGGGGTGGCCCTGCTAAAAAAGGGTTACTGGAGTGGTTGGATGGATTCCATGACTTTACTGGTGGTTCTTTTTTGGCTCAGGCTAAAAGAGCAGCTGGTAAAACAGCTGGAACTCCCCTTTGTGAGAGTTGGTAGAAATGCACTGTTGGTGGAAATTACAAACCCTAGGAAATAGAACACTACTGAAATGCCCCGCATTCCACAGAGATGATGCCCTTTCTAACCTTCTCCTTGTCCTGAGTTTTTGACTGAATCTATTGGGGGTTGTCTTCTGTGAGATTCTGTCTAATTTTTTCATGTAAACAATTGGTGAAAATAGGAATTAAACTATAGAATGTGTGTCTGTATTCAGCTTGGTCAGGAATATTTTATTAATCCAGGAACAAACCACCCTCTGAGCCAAAACAGTCTTATATTATCTTTGAAAAGAAACCAAACTAGTCTCAAAGAATGTTGAAAACAAATGTTTTAATAAACAAACCAGTTAAGAAGTTAATGATGCATTACTTTTTTAATGTGTTTGTGTTAGAATTATTGAGTGAATGAGCCCTACAGTTGGAACACCCACGTTAGATTTATAAAAAACTAGCATTGTCAGGTGAGCAGAGATGCATTTTGAAGGAGTTTTCACTGAAATCTTTTCTGGCTTGTGGTACTTATTATAGAGTTTGGGACTTGTCCATCTATTTATTGTTATTTCTAGTGATTATATTTCAGCCTGAACAGGGCTCATATCTGAACTAGAGCCTGAGCTGAACCTCTCAGTCTGAGGCAGAAACAAAAATAAATCCTTTTGAGACTTTAGCCTTCTGCAGTGCATCTCTGTCACTGTAGGTGAGGGTGTGCACTCTGGAAATATGCAACCCTGAGGGTCTCTGGCATAGAGCATGCTATTTATCACACTATGTAAACATACAGGAACTCTAGACTTGTAAGCATAGAAACTTGTCATTTTTGTAGAGCTCTTCATCTCATCAAATAAGTGAAATGTCTTCCTGCTGGAGGCTTGGGCAGTTAGGCAGTTTTCCACTGTAAACTATATCTCTTTGGAGCAAATAATACATTATATTGTATTAGTTATCATTGTGTTGCCCTTCAGAGAGCCCCCTGAAAATTAGTGTGTATTGACAGTCAGGGATAAACTGGGAAATTATTTGACTAGTGATTTCTGTGTTTTATGTCACTGAAGACAGTAGGCCTTGGCTCCTCACTCTGTACTTTAGAAACGATGCTGAAGGTTACTGTCACGCCCGGTGTGGTGGGAAAGCAATTCTGTTCTTTCCCTCTAGTAATCCGGATAACTCTGGCAAATAGTCACCTAAAACAATACTTGTTATGATCATTTAACCTATGGTTTATCAACCTTGGCAGTATTCACATTTTGGGCTGGATGATTCTTTGTTACCAGCAGAAGGGGGGTGGGAAGCAGATTGTCTTGTATATTATTGGATGTTCAGCACCATCCCTGGCCTCTACCCACTAGACACCAGTAACAGCTCTCCCCCGCTCCCCAACTGTAACAAGCAGAAATTGTCAGATGTCTGCTGGGAGGAATATCACCCTTGTTGAGAATCACTGATTAATCCTTAATTAGTTAACATGGCTGCATGCTTGGGAAAAATGCTTTTTGGTAAATGATTAGGATTCCAGTTTGTGTATCAAAGCATGACAGCTGCCTTACTTAAATGAAAGAAAGGAGTTAGAATGATAATGGTGTTACTCTTGATGACTCCTTTCACCCCACAGAGGACCGTTCTCACAGCACATGACTGGAGATGCTGTTGCTTTTTCCAGGAGTCCCCAGGACTTTATTACCACCTCCTCTACTAGCAGGGGCTTGGTGCATCCCTGTGGGTTTATCTCTGCCTTCCTCTAGGTCGAGAATATCAGGTAGTTGTAATGAGCACATTGATTATTGGAAGAAAGAATTTTGAAAAGGCTAGAGCTTGTATACAGGAGGGACGTCTTCATGTCTTGTTTTGTTTTAGATACCTGCTACTTAAAAAAAAAAAAGCCTCTGTGTCTTGAGATTCTGTTACACTCCAAGATTAATGTAACCATCTGTAATTCTCTTCATAGGGCCTCCTCATAACTGGATGAAGGATTTTATCCTCACAGTTTCTATAGTAATTGGTGTTGGAGGGTGCTGGTTTGCTTACACGCAGAATAAGACATCGAAAGAACATGTTGCAAAAATGATGAAAGACTTAGAGAGTCTGCAAACTGCAGAGCAAAGTCTAATGGACTTACAAGAAAGGTAAGTAAAAAAAGCTGTAAGTCTTGTTGTTTGTATAGGAGATACAGTTCGTGAAAATGTGATATGGGCATGTGCTTACACACTTATATTTAGACTAGCACACACATTAGGAATGTATGTAATTTCATTTCATATTTTTTAGAAAAGTATCCTTATATTTATCATAATTACAGATTTATTGTGAAGGGGTGCACTAGGATAGAAGTCCAGTGGAAATAAATCAAATATAGGTGGAATTATATGTGTAGTTAGATTTTATTTTTAACATGATTTAAATAATTATGAATTTCTTAAATGTCTCTCTGCTGAAGAGTATTTTTCTGCTCTCCCTGTGTTCTGAGCTCAAGATAACCAAAGTAGCTGTGTGGTAGGCTTACCTGTTGTTTTTGTTATCCAAACTTAAGATCAATAAAAATGTTTCGAATTCTGATTGAAAGATGTATCCTATTGCTTGATACATATTTATTCTTCATTTAAAAAATGAAATTTTGGGAACTTTTGTGAGAAATTTTCATTATTGTTGTCTGTAAGGCTTGAAAAGGCACAGGAAGAAAACAGAAATGTTGCCGTAGAAAAGCAAAATCTAGAGCGCAAAATGATGGATGAAATCAATTACGCAAAGGAAGAGGCTTGTCGGCTTCGAGAGCTAAGGGAGGGAGCTGCATGTGAATTGAGTAGACGCCAGTACGCGGAGCAGGAATTGGAACAGGTATTTACGTTTTAAAAAACGTATTTGTTAGGATATGCCTATTGCCATTCTGAGGAGTTTTTTGTTTTTGTTCAGTCTCCTACATTTAGTTTCATTGTATACTCTTCCTTAGTTAATAAAAGAATCATTTGTTCATATTGTTAGTATTGATCAAAGTCCACATAGCAAAATAACAAAGTGGTAACTAAAAGATAAAGTTACCATCATGTTCACTCATTCGTGAAATCTTATCCCATGCCATGTTAATTATCTTGAGTAAATTTGAGGTGTTTATTTAATTTAACATCCGTAATATGTTTCAGTCTCTGACTGTAACCTAGTAAAGTATATCCAATGTTAAACTTCTCTGCAAAGGTGAAGAATCTCTAACATCCGTTTGAATCCTTAGTTTTAGAACATAATCTGCTAAAAATTCTGAAGTTGTCTAAAGGATGTCCTTTTCAGTATCTTGCTTCTGCTATGCGTTTACTCAAGATGGAATCAGGCGTTGTATAGTCCTTTGGAAAAAGGGAATGTGGTGTCTGGGAGAGTTTAATTATAGGCAAATGTATTAATTTTCTATCCTTCTATAGAAATTATCACAAACTTAGTGGCTTAAAACAACACACATTTATTATCTTATAGTTCTCGAAGTCAGAATCTAAAATAGGTCCACAGGGCTGCATTGCTTATGGAGCTCTAGGGAAGGATTTCTTTCCTTGCCTTTTCCAACTTCTAGAGACTGCCTACGTTTCTGGGCTCACGGCCCGTTCCTTCATCTTCAAGGCATGTCACTCCAACCTCTGCTTCCATGGTCTCTTCTCCTGGCTTTGATCCTTTCTTTGCTGATACAGAAACTGAGGAACAAAATGAGGGTGAGGAAACCTGCTCAAGATGAGAGAGTGATTCAGTTGTAAAGCAGGGCTAAGAACCGAGCTGCTCTGCCTCCCACTTCCCTTCATGCACTGTAGCCTTCTCATCCAGTGCGAAATGAGAAACAAGAGTTATGTGATGAATAAGTTTCAGTTTCAGCTCATGGGGAGATGTTCATTGTGCATTACTGTTTCTTTCAAGATTGTCATTTGTGGTAAGGCTTGTCTGACTGAATGCAGTCATCTTTATTGTTAACTGTTAACTATGCTTTCCCTCATGCCCCAGATGTCTGTTTTTTGGATCTTTCCCTGTAAGGAGTTTGTTCTCTTAAGTTAACTCCTTTGTGTATTTTGCACTCAGGCCCTATTTACCTGACAAACCTTATCTGTACAGAATGTAGTAAAGAACCAGGGAGTTGACAGAAAAGGCCTCACCAAAATTGTACTGTGTCCAAGATTTAGACAATGTGCCCTTTACTCCACTGAGAGCTTCCTGCCTCTTCCCACTGAGACTTCTAACTCTTGGTTTGTTCCCAGGACTAAACTAAAAAGCTTTTAAGCTGTTTTTCTGAACTTTGCAGATAAGAAAAAGCAAATCAGAAAGCAGTAGTGGGAATTCTTCTGCAGAGAGAGAAACTGATAGCAGTATTTTACAGGTGACTGCCTCTCAGTGAGGGAGAAGACACAATATAAAAAAGGACCCAAGAATCACAAACGTTCTCATCTGAGGTTTTTGGCATAGGGACCTTGCACTCAGTACACCCAAAGATTACCATGATGTTATGTCCCAGTACAAATGTAATAATTCTAATGAGATCCTGAGTCAGTGAGAGGTGGTTTAAGGGAGAGAAGTGGACATTTAAAAAGAACTCTGTCCAATATGATTATAGTAATAAGAAACACAATTTTATGAGTGCTTACTATGTGCCAGACGTTTATGATATGCACATTACAAATGGTTTGCTCCTAAATTTTAATCCTCACAATACATAGATATTATCCTCATTTACAGATGAAATGTGTAGAGAGGTTAAATAACTTGCCTTAGGTCACACAGCTATTACGTGACAAAGGAAAGATTTTGCATGTCTTATTCCAAAGTTCATGTTTTCCCATACTGCTATTAAAAGCTTTGTTTATAGAAGTAAGTTTAACTGGGAAATTAATTTACGTAAAACGTCACATAGTCCACAATTCCACATAGTTTTAAACATTACTGTATATCTTGTCTGGGGGATAATCAACTTTTCAAAATTAGAAGGCAGGAAAATCTGATACATATTTTGTATAGTGTTATTTTCCATAAAACAAAAACTTTTGAGTGAATAATAGTACTACGTTATATTTTGTGTGGTTTAAATACTTTTCACATAAATTATTTTGTTCTTAAAGTCTCAAGAAGCCTAAAGTCAGGAGAAGTCATGGTACCCCTGTTCTACCTGAGACAATAAGCCTCAGAAAGTAAAAAACTTGCTGAAGGTCACAGAGATAATAAATAATAAAGTTGGGTTTAGAAGCCAGGTTGTCATATATTTAGGCTGTTTGTTTCTGTGATATCATGTTTTTACTTATTGCTGTTTTATTCCTAAGACACAAAAATTATGTAAATAATCATATTTTTAAACAATTTAATAATTCATCATTTTTAAAAGCTATTAATTGCTCAATTTTTACTGCTTCCGTTCCCCTATAAATAACAGTGTAATTTAAACTAAGGGTAAGAATTTAGGTCAATTGATAAACTTATGAATAATAGCAGAGACAATAATTAAAATAGTTGCTATTATTGGAAGGTCAGAATTTCCAGAATTTTGAGACATTATTTGACAGTCCATTGAAACATTGTTCGACAGTCAGTTGAAACATTGTTCAGTCTCAGTTTATGCTAGAAATATATCAATTCTGTGTTAAATGCGTTTATTGAGCTCTTTCAGGAGAAATAAATTTATGGGCATAACATTAAGAAAAATCTTTATGATTGAAGAGAGAAACTTGAGTGAAATTTGTTCAGGTTCTCTGTATACTTCCTTGGTGGTGAAAATTGCATAGGAAGGTTAGCTTAAAGTCCTGTGAGAAAAAAAGACCTGCTGACCTACACTTTGTAGTGTTATATAGCACTCCATGTCACAGGACCTGAGCTCAAATCCTCTCTTCTTGAGAGGTTAGCAGGTTGCCACAGCTTAGCCAACTGTCTTATTAAACACAGCATTGTCCCAAGCACGTTGCACAGTGATTTGTGTCAGGCAAATGTAGCTTAGGATCTGTTTTCAGTAAGTGCTGTCTTACCCTTACTTTTTATTTATTTATTTATTTATTTTTCCCCCAAAGCCCCAGTAGATAGCTGCATGTCATAGCTGCACATCCTTCTAGTTGCTGTATGTGGGACACGGCCTCAGCATGGCCGGAGAAGCAGTGTGTCGATGCGCGCCCGGGATCCAAACCCGGGCCGCCGCCAGCAGCGGAGGGCGCGCACTTAACCGCTAAGCCACGGGGCCGGCCCTTACCCTTACTTTTAATGTCTGTATGTTGAATTGTCTACTTAGTGTCCTGTTGTGATTTTTTTTTAAATTTTGGAGTTTTAAAAAATACTTTTCTACACAATTTTTTTCCTACTGTATCTTACAGGTGTTCTCTCTCTGTGTCAGAAGTTTGTGTATAGTACTCTTCTTAGTTTATTCTGGCACATGATAAAGTTTGTTTGCATAAGTTGTATTTGTTCAGATCAAACCTTTCTACATGTTAATTTAGGAATAGAGTTTAGTTAACCTTACTTAGCTTTGAGGAAAATTAATTTGCAGTTATGGTGCTCCAGAAGCAGGACGCTCCACAGTTCACTCATTACTTTGTCCGAAGGTCTTGAGTGTGTACATGATTCTATAAATTCCATCACGTCTCTTTACATAGCTTTAGCTTGAGCTCTTGCTGGTTTGAAGTGAATCATTCCTAGAATGGGTTGTCTCTTCCTTCTGTGTCGTTTTCTTAGGCTTTCCTTAAGAGTTTTTTCCTTATCACTTAATAGCACCTCACAAGCATTTTAGTTTTCTATCTTTTTATTAAAAACCAGCTAGAAGAAAGACTTCAATATCCTGACACTGAAGGCTGTGCATAGTTTCTTGTGGAAAAATCAAGTAGACTCTCACTCAGAATCTATTTTCTTGAAATTTACACATGGTCTGCAAATGCTGATTTATCTGCTTTCTGGTATGTTAGAATCAGTAAATTAAATAGAAGTGGTAAAACAAACTATGATAGGCAGATATGTTTTTGTAACCATGAGAAATAAATGGCCATAAAGAAGATGTCATGAAAAACTTCAAAAAAGGGTATAATTACTTTAAAAAGTGTGTATAGTTAAGTAGCTACAGTAGGGTCTTCAGGGAACATTAGAAGGGGTAGTAGAACAGCTATTTACCCTATTTTGGACACTTCTTCATTTCCTACTCCATAAACAAAAAATGCATTATGAGAAAGATGTCATCAGTTTTAGTTTGTACATGCTGTGGATTTTTTTCTCTTAGTGAGTCTGGCTATTATAAACTATAAAAACTAAATATTGCAACTTAAGATATATATGAGCCCCCTCTACCTTCTGGCTTTACAACTTTGTTTAGTGAGTTTAAGATGCACTTAAAATTTCAGTTTTAGTTTTAATGTTAGAAATATATTGTTTCAGACTTTGTGATTTAAAAAGATGTTTACAAAGAGCATAATTAAAATTGCTTTTTCTCTTAATTTTGGTACTAAGAATACCTTAATTTCTTAAAAAGTACCTTAATTTAAATATCTTGTAAAAAGAGAAATTTCTCACTCCTCTCTTTCTCCTTCCTCCTCTCCCCCTCCCCTTCCTCTGTTCCTCTTTGTCTCTCTCCCCACTCTTTCCTCTTTTCCTCCCTACCTCCCTCCTAGGTTCGAATGGCTCTAAAAAAGGCTGAAAAAGAATTTGAACTCAGAAGCAGCTGGTCTGTTCCAGATGCACTTCAAAAATGGCTTCAGTTAACACATGAAGTAGAAGTACAGTACTACAATATTAAAAGACAAAATGCGGAAATGCAATTAGCTATTGCTAAGGATGAGGTACTCTGCTTTTTCAAAACTTACTGTATTTCTAAAGGGATTAACTAATAGGGATACAAAGATATGAAAAAAAATTTATTGCAGATTCTTTTCATGAATTGGTACTTATTGCATAAATGGACTCTCATAATCATAGGCTGCAAAGTAAAATTACTGTATTTAGAGAAGTATATACCTTTCAAAATGACCTTAGTGTCATTTAAAAATCATCCCTATTATCATTATCATAAATGTTTTATACGTAGCTTTTCTCCTCTAGGTTGCTGCTTCATATCTGATTCAGGTTAGTAGTTACTAGAAATCGTCTGACTCTTATTAAGTTGTGTGAAATAGGATTGTCTTAATCTGATTTCTAGCAAAAAGAAAAAAAAAGCTCAGTTCACTTACTAACACCTCCATTGCAGTAGGATATAATTAATGTTACTCTGTTTGTTTTACTAGAAGATTCAGGTCTTTCTGAACCATAGAAATAAGAGAAAAATTCTCCACAACAAAGTTTTGAGTTATGTTGATTGGCTTAGGAAAGCATGCTTTCTCCCTCTCAAGCATCCTTTCTTTTTTGCAAAATAGGGCTATATCTTGGCTAATAATTCTCCACTGATTTTATGATTATTAATATATTCAAACCAAACTTCATTAGTATATGTGTATTTTTCCCCAAACCTAGCCTTATTTTTCTTATTTTGGGTTTCTAGGCAGAGAAAATTAAAAAGAAGAGAAGCACAGTCTTTGGGACTCTGCATGTGGCACATAGCTCCTCTCTAGATGAGGTAGATCACAAAATTCTGGAAGCAAAGTAAGAGTGTTATTTTAGCTATCTGTTTATTTTTATTGTGTTGAAATGTGTAATTTATCGATAATTTATATTTTAATCTGTCATTTAATCACGTACAATTACATAATTTATACTAATTCTAAGAGTGGGTAATTCTTCTTGAAGTTAGTTAATTACCCTGGTCTGTTCATGTAGTTGCCTTTTTTCAGTGCCATATTAAAGATTCTTTGATGTAACAAATAATTCCTATAATGATTTTTCCAGGAAAGCCCTCTCTGAGTTGACAACTTGTTTACGAGAACGACTTTTTCGCTGGCAACAGATTGAGAAGATCTGTGGCTTTCAGATAGCCCATAACTCAGGACTCCCCAGCCTGACCTCTTCCCTTTATTCTGATCACAGCTGGGTAGTGATGCCCAGAGTCTCCATTCCACCCTATCCGATTGCTGGAGGAGTTGATGACTTAGATGAAGATACACCTCCAATAGTGTCACAGTTTCCCGGTAAGTGGTGAGTTCAAAAAGAGAGATGGTACAGTTTTTAAAGTAACTTTATACTATGCCTTTTATGAATCATTTATTTTGAAATCTGTGATAAAAATTTCATTCATTCTTCATTTTCTCCTTTTTCTTTTTGTTAATAGTGTTTACTGTTTGGGAGTACTATATGAGGTGTGTGTATATAATGTATACACACGTGCGCACACACCTATATATACATACACATATAATAACATCATACATGCTAAATCATTGTATGAATGAAGTGCTGAGCTTTGAGGGAAAACATCCTTTCGTGTGACAGTTTAATCTATAGTAGAAAGTAAAAATTAGAGGAAGATCTTGGAAACCCAAGTTCCAATCCTATCTTTGCTACTAATTAACTGTGTGATATTGAGTCAGTCTGTAATTTATTTTAAATTGAGTTGCCATTCCCAGTAGGCATGTTTTTTAGTATTTTGTTTTGCTTTTCCAATTCTGTCCTTTTATTGAAAGAGTATTATCCTGCTGTGTTTAACTCATGACACACTGAATCAATTTACCTTTAAACAATATTAAATTGTATTTATGTTTAGAAAAACTTATATGTTTTTTTGTTGCTAGAAAGTAGAGCTCCTCCCAAAGGTGATTTTAAGATGTACATTTTTCATTATATTACTTCATTATGCTCTATTCTTTGAAAATTTTTACATTGTAAAGAATACATTTTGGTAGGAAGTTGAATTTTAAATATTTTAGATTTTATTAATTTTAGAATTTATTAATAAATATTTGGAGTTTTTGTAAAGTTATACAGAGTTTGAATTTAAAATGGTGTATTTCTTGTATTAGAAATTATTTGAAAAACTCTTTATCCTTAATTATTGCCTGCCTGATTCATTTTTCCAATCTTTGTGACCTTTTTGAAACAGTGTACAGTCATGTGTCACTTAATGAGGAGCACACGTTCTGAGAAATGCATTGTTGGGCCCTTTTGTCATTATGCAAACATCATAGAGTGTACTTACACAAACCTAGATGGCATAGCCTACTACACACCTAGGCTATATGGTATTAATCTTATGGGACCACTGTCATATATGCATTCATCGTTGACCAAAACATCGTTATGTGGTGCATGACTGTAGATAGAACAAAATTCCAAAGAATGGAGAGCAGAGTTTAATCATTGATTGGTGGAGGATTTAATGGAAATTTTAGTCTTTGAGACAAATCATGATATATGAGCATTTTCCAGTTTGAATTTTTCGATCCAATTGTTACAGTTTTTCTGAAGTTATGATTTAGAAAGGGTTCTAATTTTTAAAACAATTTTATGAAATAAAGCCCTAAATTTGCAAATAAATAGTCAATGACTATGTGCTTGTGTTCATTTCTGTGGTTTTAATTCTCTGGCCTACAGGCAGGCAGATAATGCAAGCAGATTAGGGAGGCACTAAACTCTCACAAGAGGAGGGGGGAGAGGACAGACTGTAAAAGCAGTGAATACTGGGAGTGTGTGACCTCACTCATTTCACTTGCCCCACACTGCAAGACAGTGATGGTTGCCAAGTTATATCTAGATCGGGGTTAGCTCTGCTATTTGAATATTGTCAGCTTGTGTTTGTTTGAATTATATGCCCCTAAGTTTGACAAATACAACACTGATCCATAAGTATATGATTTTGTTTGAAAATTAAAGCTTTTTAAAGTTGTAGTTCCTCCTTAGAATCCATAATTATTCAATATCAGAAGTGTGCATGAAGATGTATTCCCTAAATTAACTAGTTTTAAGTACTTTTTTGGAGGGAGGAAGATACCCATATAAGCAATAAAAGAAAACACTTAACAGTAAATGTGAATAATTACCTTAAGTTTTCAGTGATTGTGATATACAGAGAAATTTGAACTTTTAAATATAAAAAATGTGCGAGTTGATTTTAAATTTAGTATGAGGTTTTAGAAATGCTGTGGGCAAATTTGTTCTGAAAAATAACTCTTGCCAAAGATTATGCTTTGAGAGCTCTGCCTCCACCCAGTGGCACAACAGTGATACTCCATTCTGCTTAGTTATAAAAGCATAATTTCTGGACCTGATAAATCAGAAACTCTTGGCAGTAGGAGTAGGGTCTAGGGTAGGATGAAGGCTCTTCATTATATACCCTGCTGAGCAGTTTTACATTTGTACCATGGGTATATGTAAATTGTATAAGTGTGAAATAATGACAAGGAAACTTTCTGTGGTATAAGAGCAAAGTAAAAGATTGGAAAACTATACACAGAATAGTATTGTCTATGTTTAATTATGTGTAGAGAAAAAAGATAGAAAGTACTATCAGAGGTTAGCCCTGTGTGGGTAGAACAACAGATTATAATTGTTTTCCTATTACTTTTATAGTATATGCTAAATATTCATAGTGGGAATGTAGTAGCAATTTATTTAAACTTTGTTGTTATAAAGCCTTTCAGGTGGACTTAAAATACTGAAAGTAATATGCTCACCTACTACAAAGATACACAGATTTTAACATTTTGCCTTATTCATCTTTCTTTTTCTCTGAAATAAACCATTACAGATACAGCTAAACCACCTCACCTCCCGTTCCCATTCTCTAAAGTTGTTGTGTATCAGTCTAAAGCCTGCTGTACTTTGATTACAGCAGATATATCCATAAACAATAGATACAATTGTTTGTTTAAAAAATTTACATAAATGTTATCAAACTGTAGGTATCGTTTTGCAACTTTTTGCTCAAAAGTATGTTTTAGAAATTTTCTATGTTTATATATAGATTAACTTCACTGTAGCTATTTAATATATGTTGTTAACCACAGTATATCTATTTTATTGTAATAATAAACCGCAGTTTATTTGTCCATTTTTCTACTAAGATAGGTCTACTTTTTTGCCCTTGCAAACAATATTGCAGTGAGCATCCTTATCTCTGTCTCTTTGTGTATAACTTTGAGAGTTTTTCTGGATGGACACCTGGAAATGGATTGCTGAGTCATTGGTAAGGCACCTCTTAATAGTTGTTGCTAAGTTGCTCTCAAAATGGTTCTATCAGTTCACACACCCACCGTTCATAAGAGTACCTGTCTGCCTATCCTCACCAATACTTGGAATGATCTGATTTATTTGTTTTGTAACTTGAATGGGTATAATATGATACCTTACTGTTACTAAAGTGTTTATTTCCTTAATGACTTCTGAGATTGACTACCATTTCATTTATTGGTGTTTGTCGTTCAGATTTCTTCCTCTCTGAGTTGCTCGTTCCTGCTGTGGAATCCCTCCAAGATTCCTTACTGATCTGGAAGAGATTTTTTTATATTTTCTGGTTATTTGAGGGTTGAAGATATTTTCTCCTAGACTTCGGCTTTTCTTTTTTACTGGACTATGTTATTTGTTTTCTTTTTTAATCATATGGGTTTTTAAAAAACATTTTTAATGACAAATTTATGATTCTGACTTGTGCTTTTTATGTCTTTTTCAGAAGATGATAAATTGTTGTTTGTTCTCCTAGAAGTTTTAAAGGTTTGCTTTAATCTCTTAGTCTTTTAGTCTACCTGGAAGTTATTTTTGTTCATATTGTGAGGAAGGAATCTAAATATATCTCTTTATGCATGGATAAACAGTTGTCCCAGCCTCATTCCTGCTCGATCCCTGCTGATTTGTAGTACCGCATCTCTCCATAGATACATGAATGTTTCCAGGGCTCTCTGTTTTGTTCCATTGGTCCCATTCTGCTTTAATTGCTTTATATAGCTTTATAGTAAGTATTGATTTTTGATAGGTCTAACTCTTCCTTTATTATTCAAATCCAGAATTGCCACTCTTGGCCAATTATGCTTATGAATTTTAGGATCAGCTTAAAAGTTCCATTGGGCTTTTACTGGAATTTCTTTGAATTTATTGATTTATTTGGGAAGAATTGTTATTCAGAAATTTTATTGAGATCTGCTTTTATTTCTCTAAGTAAAATTTATAATTTTCTCTATACAGTTCTTGCATGTCCTTTTTAAAAAGACTAATTTCTAGGTACCTTATAGCTTGTTTTTTTGTAGTTACACGTTACCTTTCTTTAAAAAATTATACTTCAAAATGCTGTTGATTTTGGTATGCTGATCTTGTGCTATACAGAAACGTTAAATTCTCTTATAAGAGTCTTTTGGGTTTTTTATGTGGACAATAATAATGAGTTATTTTTTCCTTTCCAATCCTTATGCGCTTTTCTCCCTTATTGTCCAATCTAGGACCTCCAGTAAAATGTTGAATGAAAGTGGTGATTGCAGTAGCGATTGCCATTTCTAACTTTAAAGAGAATGCCTCTGGTATTTCATTATGAAGTGTGATTTTTTTTTTTTTTTTTTGGTGAGGAGATCAGCTCTATGCTAACATCTGCCAATCCTCCTCTTTTTTGCTGAGGAAGACTGGCCCTGGGCTAACATCCGTGCCCATCTTCCTCCACTTTATATGGGACGCTGCCACAGCATGGCTTGCCAAGCAGTGTGTCGGTGCGTGCCCGGGATCCGAACCCGTGAACCCCGGGTCGCCACAGCGGAGCGTGTGCACTTAACCGCTTGCGCCACCAGGCTTGACCCATGAAGTGTGATTTTTTTGCTATTTGTTTTTGGTAGACTACTTTTAAGTTAAAGGAAATTAATTTCTATTCCTATTTTGCTAAGAATGATTTTTCTTTTAAATCACTGGCATGTTAAATTTTACCAAATTTTCTGCATAATTTGAGGTGATCACTTGTTTTATTTTTCTTTAATCTGTTGAATTTTAGTCTGTTTAAATAAATTCCTTTGAATGTCAGTGAAACTATTTTTGTCACAATTTCTATAATAAATTGGATTTGGTTTGCTATGTTATTTTACTTAGGGTTTTTACATCTTTACTCACATGTTAGATTAGCAAGTAATTTTCCTTCCTGACACTCTTTGTTTGATTTTGGTATCAAGGTTATATTAGCATCACAAAATGAGTCAAGGAATGCTCTCTATTTTTCCATTCCATT